CTTGCAGAAAAGACCAGAAATTTGGAAGTTTCACTTATTTCAAGGTTCATAGCTCAAGCCGCACAAAACCGATAATAAATCAGAATGTGAATATATTTGTCACGCTGAATATATCTTTCAGGTGAGCAGAATACCTCTTTCCTTGTATTAATAATTAAATACTCATCAAAAGTTTAGTTAGTTAGTAGAAAATTAAAGGAAATCAAATTAAATTAAACCTCTGAGGGGTTTCATCCAGGTCTTGATGCTCTGTAGAGCCAACACTGCAGGTGGCCTGGTTCTCTCTTGTGAAGTGTCTAGCTCATGTATCTGGGCTTCTCTATCCACTGGAGAGTTCGGGACTACACTGCTAATATTTGGTCCTTTAGACTCCTCAATTCCATGTTGCATTTGATGTACTAAAATCACTGATGAAGCTGCTCACCGTTTTCAGTTAAGTAACTGGTTTCTGGGTCTAAGCGGTATTTTTTTCTCCTCCTTCTCAGACTAGATTAAATATTTCAACTCTCTGAGAGTCATATTGTCTTTTAGCTTCAAATTCTAGCAGGAGGGGAGGCAATCTGCTCTCATATACTGCACGTACAGGCATAGGGTATTAAAAATTTGACAGACTCCCAGTCTTCTTTGAGGCAACATGGAGAAGTCATGAATATAGGCTCTGGAGCCAAGATGCCTCCTGGGCTAGAATCCTAAACCAAGTTTTTTAATCTGTGAAAAAAGAGTATAATGGTACCTACCTCATAAGGTCATTAAGGGATCAAATGTGTTAGGACACGTTAACTGCTTACAACAGTGCCAGACACTCGAGGGAGTGTAAGCTGTTATTATTCTATTTCATTGTCTTCCGTTTTTATTTTATTATATGTTATTATTCTATTATTATTCTCTTGTATGCTATTGTTATATTTCTCTATTAATCTATTTAATATTCCTTCCCTATTCTGTATCTTACACACCTTAATTTAGTAATAAAACAGCAACTTGGCAGGAAACTGTGTGTGTGTGTGTGTGTGTGTGTGTGTGTGTGTGTGTGTGTTTTCTTTCTCCAGTGTTTGTATATTCTAAATAACACCAGCTGGCTAGAAATACCCTCTGGTGTGTGTGTGTGTGTGTGTGTGTGTTTTAATTCTTCAAAGATAGTCTTAAAGGAACTATAAAAGGTGCATTATTAGTTCTCTATTGCCACTATAGCAAATCACCATAAACTTAGTGGCTTAAAACAACACAAGTCTATTATCTTATAGTTCTGGAGGTCAGAAGTCTAAAAAGGGCCAACAAGGCCGTGTTCCTTCTGGATGCTCTGGGGAGAACCATTTCTTTCTCTTTCCAGCTTCTAGAGGCTACACACATCCCTTGCCTCGTGGCCACATCACAGCAGCCTCTGCTTCCTTTGCTTCTGTTATCACATCTCTTTCTCTGATTGTGACCCTCCTGCTCCCGTCCCCTTATAATATATATGTGACTGCACAATACCGCCCAGATAATTCAGAATAATACCTCATTTAGAGACTCTTAATTTAATCACATTTGCAAAGTCCCTTCTGTCTATAAGGTGACATATTCACAGGATCCAGGGATAGGATGTGGACATCTTTAGGGAGGCATTATTTTGCCTACCACAAAGAGAAAAGCACTGGATGATCTCTTGAGATCATTTCAGCCAGTGGTACCCAAACAGGTGATTATGCTGCACCAGGGGACATCTGACAATGTCTGGAGACATTTTTGGTTGTTACAACTGGGAGGAGGGTGTTACAAGGCATCTAGTGGGTAGAAGCCAGGGACAGGGCTACACATCCAATAATGCATCAGACAGCCACCTCTCCCCAGGAAAGAATGATCCAGCCCCAAATGTTGATAATGATGAGGCTGAGAACCCATGATGGAAAGCATATGAGAGTCATCGAAATCTTCTGAGTTAGTAAGGATGCGATGCAATGGGAGCTAGTTTCAGGATTTACATTCACATGGAGAAGTTTGAGAAATCACATACAAACTCTTTAACTCCATGTTTTTAACAATTTTATATGGTAAATAAGAGATGAATACTGCTCATACTTTAATAGTAGGGTTTTGTACACTGCCTTAATTTGTTACTTGTTAAGTAGTGTTTGTTTTAAGTCTTTTGTAATCTTTCATACTGCTGCATTTCATATATAGATAAGTTAATTCAAAGTGTTTATTAAAACATCATTTTATGTATATTATGAATATTTACATTCACAGATGCTCAGATTTAAGCGCCTAATGCCAATTTCAAGGTGACCCACAGGCTTCTGCAATATTTTATTTTTGCCTTGGTATGGCCTGATTTCTATCCCTTGACTTCACAGGATCCAAGTGAGAAGTACAATTACCATGATATTCCCTTCCACAGAGAAAAAGATTTCCTTAGAACCAGCTTTCACTTAAAGTAAGCACCTTGGGTATAAGTTCCCAATTCTGAAGCATTTCTGTGCTCAGGTTTCAATTCTCCCATTCTTTTAAAGTTAATTTACAGAATTGCTAGCAGGAGACGTTATATGTTTTTCAACATCTTTGTTTCCCATCTTCCTTTTCCTTCCCATTCATTCCACTCTTCTCATTCTCTCCCTTTCTTTATTACTTTCTTTCTGTCCACAATTTCTCCTAGAGTTTCCTTAATTTACAGCAACTTCTAAAAGCAATAGTTGTATTTTCTGTGGCAGAAAAGATTTCTTAACAAGCAGAGGACTGCGTGTGTGCACTTGGGTGTCAAGACAGTATCCATAAAGATGAGTGTCAACTTTATTTTCTTCATCCAGGAAGAATAATAACTATGAGTTATGAAAGTATTCTAACAGATTCTGAACCAACAGAGCAGAATGAAGAAAAACACAAAACTATTCAGCAACTTTGTTTACCACTGAAGCTATTTCTATTGTATACATTTCTCTGCCAAGATACGGTTCAGGGAGAAAACAGAAAGAGAAAAAGAGTAAGAGAGAGAAGAGACTGTGTGAAAGAGAACCTATAGATTATGATATTTAAGAGACATGCCAAGTGTTTTTGAAGGACTTAGAAACTTAGAGATAATAAGAGGTCAATACATAAATGGAAGTTTCTCAAAACAAGATAGGTGTGAGCCTAGACAAGGGCAGCTGGTACAGAGAAAGGACAGGGAGGACTTGGGGATAGAGCAAATGGTAACTTTGACAACTTGGGCACATAACAACTCTGGCACAGGGACTCTGAACATCTTCCAGCCAAGGCCCCTATACAACCATTTCCCTGGGGAATAAACTTCTTTTGTTTCTGGGAAAGCCCATGATGGGAAAGTGCCTGCTATTATCTTGCTGATATTCCAATCAGGTCTCCTTCAAGACATGTTGTGTCTCAGAAGTACAGCTAGTGAACTTAAGCTGCAGGGGGACAATCATCATCCTCCTCCGCATCATCATCCTCATCCTCATCCTCCTCCTCATCAAAAAACAATACAGAAAAGCAAAGGGCACATATTTGGAATATTAGACTATAACCTAAAATCCCAAGAATATTTTGTCATCATTATTTTGCCAAGTTCAGTTCATAACAAAAAACACAGTTAAAAATATCTGACAGAAAATGTTTAAAAATCATTTGGGACAGGTTCGTTCTTGGAAGGAAGTTTAGAATCTCTTGTCAAATGGCATTAATATTGTGCTCATAACCAAGTGCTGTGCCCAGCTACACCCTTCTTTTCCTTGCCTAAATGATCTTTTTTTATTTTTCACCATATTCTCATGAATGTGACTTCTGTAACTCCATACACTTCTCTGTTCCATTCTCTGACTTTTCTTTTCCTTCTGCTCTAGTTTTTGATGTCCTCTTAAGTTCAGCCATTATACCTTTTCTTTTCTCCTTTTGGGAACTCGAATTTTCCCAAGGCTTCACCTTTTACGCCTTGGGCTGACAGATCCTAAACCTACCCCTTGAGAGATTCTGAAATACCCCATCACTACCTTCTCATTGTCTATCCCCACTTGGATGTTACCCCTGGCTTACACTCAACATGTTCAAATCCATAGTAGTCACATCCCTCCCTAATACAAACCTACCTCCTAACTTCTCATTTTTTGCACTGCTGCTATTCTCCTGCATCCCTTAGGTTTTAAAAGTGGGTATCATTTCCAAATTATTCATATCCTTCAATTAGCAAGTCAATTCTATTGAGCCACCCAATTCTCCCTTCACGTTGTCCCACAGCTCTCTCATCCCACCACAGGCTGACCTCAGCTCACACCTGAATTATAGCAACAGCCCCTACCTGCCCACTCTCCCTGGCTTATCACCTCCCATTCAATTCACTCAGCCTACCATTCCCAGAATCATCTTTCAACTTTTGTTTTATTGAGTGATCTCTTCAGGACAGTATCCATTTCTTTGTTATTACGACATTAAAGCTAAACATGGATTTTCAATGCTCTCAGTAATGTGCCCCTACCTATAAGTTTACAATTTTACTGCTTCTCAATATGATTTATTCCTATTGTTCTTTGTCCTTGTTTGAAATTCCCTCTTCTATTCCACCACTTCCAAAACCTAGCTCTGCTTCAAGGCCCCTCTCAAATCTCAACTTCTCCATGTAGCCTAAATGATGACATGTCACTCCTTTCCTAGTTTTTATCCCTCTAATGATTTGCATGGAGAAATTTAATACTGAATGATATGATTCTCACTATTTCATACATGCTGAGTTTTTTCTCCAACTACATGGCAAGCTCCATAAAGCTAGCAAGATAGTTCTCTATCACCCTACCATGCACACCAAGGCTGAATAGGGGAATTCCTTTTTAGAATAAACAAGTCAATTAATCTACTACTTAAATATATTTTTATTTTGTTGGCTGTAAATAAGTGATCCATAATGAAAAAGCATAAAGAAAACAAATTTAGACATATATCTATTAGCATTTGATTTTTAAATGTTTTTCATCAATTATAAAACTATTAAATTGAAAAACCATCAATTATAAAACTATTAAATTGAAAAACCTTCTTACCTGATTTTATGCAGTCTGATGATTTGCAAATACCATCTAGAAAAAGGAGGGTATATGCATAAATGTTTGCAATACACATTTTCTAATTTCTCTGTCTTTTGTTCTTCCAAAAGCTGCCAATTAATTAATTCCTTAAACCAATAACTAAACCTGAGCATTATATATCATTGCCAATACTTAAGAGAAAATATAGAGAAACGAAATAGGAAAATCCTAAATTTAAAATTTTTATTATGAAGAAAGTGTATTTATTATATCATCTCTACTCACTAAGCCCTAGGTCTTTTAAATTAAAATTATCAGTTGTGTTAGTCTGCTAATTATGTTTTTTTGCCATTAAGGAACCAATCTTTTCTAATCCTTATTGTGAAAAACTTCTAAGACTCAAATTAGACCTCTTAAATTTCTGTGAAGCCCTTTAGAATTTCAATGACACAGCAAAATTTGACTAATTGAAGTTGGCTATAACATTGTGTATACTTTAATCAAATAAAATTATACATTGGAATCCTCATAAAGTAAGCATAAGTGCACTAAGTATACTTGGCAATTAATAACTTAGCTCAAACATAAAAGACATTGTACTTTAGTCAAAGTTAACTGTTTTGACATATCGATGTCACACTTTATAAATGAATCTTTATAGCACTATCTTTAATTGTCTTTCTCCTTAACACGTTCGTTTGGTAGATGGGAAAAGCACCACTCTCTTCTTCATTTATGTGTGCACAGGTGTGGGAGGAACTCACCGTCATAGGTTGCATAGAGTCCTATCATTGTCACAGCAATGATGGTGAGGAGCAGGACAAGGACAGAGAGACTGATCTCCAGCGGTGTCCATCGCTGTTTCTTCTTTGGCTTTGGAGTGTTGATATCAGTTATATCCATCTGACTTTCTGATCTGCCCATCACCTAAAATCTGCAAAAAATTTAAAATTTTTAAAAATTCTAATAAATTAATAAACACAGAGAAAAAGAAATATATATACAATTTTCCAAATGCTAGATGCAGCTGAATAAAGGTAAAAGGATAATTTATATTAAATAAGAAATAAAAAAATTTTTGTCAAAAGTCAAATTTTTGATTCTGACAGAGAAGAATATAGAGCCAGATGAATCCGACAGGTCCTGATCACAACTTTTTGCTTTTGTTTTTTTGTTTTTTGATATGCCTCAGAAGATCCAAGCAAAATTAGACAAGTAAACTCAGTTAAATACTCACGTAGGATTCCTTCAGCAGTTCATAAGCAAATAATTGCTGTACCATCATTAAAGAAAGTTTAAACTCACCCCTTTGAACTTTGGACAAGGTCGAAGGTGAATTTATATCTTGTTCTGGTGGCTTTCTTTATAAGCTTAGAAATCAATGACTAACACTTTGAGATTTTGACTAAGCAATAATTTGAAATAGAAATACATAAAAACAAAAATGAACAAACACTTGTGATGGTTTATTTTAGTCTTAAGAACAACTTTTGATTTTGCAGTTCAAAACTATGACTACTGCTGATATGGGTATCTAGTAACTGGTTAACATTCTGAAAATGGTCACTCGTAAGACCAAAGATTTACCTTCAGAGATGAAAGATATTAATTACGTTCTCTTTGTGCAACTGAAGAAGAAAAAAATATGTGATTTAAAACTTCTAGCAGGTCAGGGTAATAATGGTTAAGATGTTTAACTTGTATGTACATTAATATTAATACTTCTACTAATAATAGCTGACATTTGAGTACTTCTCATGTGTCAGTCACAGTTCTTTGTGCTTCACAAGTAATAATTCATTTAATCTTTGTAAGGTGAATATTAATATTTCAATTCTATATCTTAGGAAACTGGGGTACAGAAAAGTCAAGTAATTTGCCTAAAGCTATACAACTAGTAAATGTCCTTTATAAAAAATATATTTGGTCACCGTTTGAAATAAAATTGTATGATCATACAATAAAAGCCACTTTAGATCTTACTGCATAAATTTAGGAGGGGAATTTAGGAGATATAAACCTAAATATTCAATTTCATTGTTTCTTTTAGAGGCCTATTGATTCTCTGTGGGCCATCCACCAAGCACAGACAACTTCAATTTTTCTGCAAGACTGTAGAAAAACACATTATAAACTAACAGATTGGCTTTGTATAGGTTGATACAAATTAAGCATATAATTTAGTTCCTAGATGAAGTGACTGCTCAGAAATGCTCTAACAGTTAAAGATCTGTGTTGAATACACAAAATTCCCAGCGGGTGTGTTTTGTGGAAACTGAGGCACAGGATAAAGTAGAAACAGAGTCTATATCTGAAGTGTGGCCGAGGAGATCCAGCAGATAACTAGGAATTTAATCTCCCTGGTGAGTTATTAATAAGTGAACCACAAACGGACTTTAAAGTTCTGGATACAAAGTCTTAAGTATGCTGTCCCCTTGATTACATGAGGCTATAACCGAGGACGGACTAGCAAATAAAAACATTTTATTAGACCATGAAAACCATGTCTGCTCAATAACAGTGGAATGTAATGTACCTGAATGTTAAAATGTCTTCCTTAATGGTTACGTAACTCATGTTGGCTTAGTCTCACAACCCCTGGGGTTATGATATGGAATTGCATTGATTGTAGTCCTTGTAGTTTTAATAGGGGTGGTGGTTGGGGAAAGAAAAGATGGGAACAAATTTAATACTTGGACAACATACAGAGAGATAAATAATAAAAGGAATAATTTTCCTAGTTCCCCTAGAAGAAGTAGAGACTGACCTAAAAACATCTGAATATTAATCACATTTGTACAAATATTTCCTTTTATTGAGTATTTCTTCTCTTGCTCTAACAATATTTCGGAAGACAATCTAAAGAAACATTTCCCTGGGATAATATAAGCCAATTCTCTTTTTAGTTCTTTCCTAGAAACAACCATCAGTTTCTACAGTAAACTTAGGATCAGGAAGCAGAGCAGCCACGGGGTTAAATTAAAGGTGCTCTTAAGCATCACTAGGCTTTTGCAGGAAATCTTCTGGGCTCTTAATAGTTCTGCACCTAAGGCTGCAGCTGCAGAAATTGTTATAAGGCACGAAGTCAGTGACTGAAGCTGTTTAGTCCTTTTACGTATGTCAAACAAATATCATCTTTGCATCATCTGCGAAACTACCTACATCCTTAACATTTCACCTGAACTGAGATACCTTAGAAAGCTTAAACCAAAAATAGACACTTCCACAGAAGAAGAGAATAGAGAATGAGGAGATCTAAACCAAAAGAACCTTGCAAAGTTCAGCTTGAAAACATCACTGAAAGAATAAATGATTATTTTTGCTTAAGCAGAAGCTGAATTTCAAAGTAATATAAAGCAGCAATGCTTACACACCAGTTGAGTATACACGTAACTTTATCACACAGTCAAGTCAAAGAACCTACAGCATAACTAGTTTGCTAAAAGGAAGTTTATAAACCTAAGCAGTTTTCATCTTCACAGCAGATTACTACTACATTAACATTTCGAGGAGTGCCTGAGGATACCCTATGCAATTAGTTTGTATTATGGAAACTGAGGCACAGGAAGCAGGAGAAACAGGTTTTATATTTAGCCTGGAGCTGGAGAAGCTGAGGAGGCAGGTACTCAAGAGAAATCATCTTGTTTTCTCCTTTGTAAATGTTTGCTGGGCCGGTAATATGGAGTTCTGGACACAGTGTTCCAACCACATTACTCCCAGATGCAGTATAGCCGGACAACGAAAAGTCGCAGCATCATACAAGGAAAGTCACAGCATCGAATCCTAGAAACTATCAGACAATTGTTTTAAAGTGCTCGAACCCAGCAATAATGCAGCAGAACTGAAGAAGCTACACGCCTTCACAGCTGATTTTTGGATTAGGAGTCCCAAAACGCTGACACTGTAAATCAGGTACTACTTTTCAGTTTAATAAAATTATCATTTGCATCATATGGGGGGATGGGGGGTGGACAGACTTGACCAAGTGGCTAAAGAGGAATGTTAGGCTGCAATTACCCTTATTTTCAAATAATGCAAATAGATTGAGACCGATTAAGTGAGCAAACTTTCATCTACAAAAGAACACTCTACCTTTACTCCTGCCAACCAACCCTTGTGTGATATAAGTATGTTAACTGCATAAATTATATAATAGGAAACTAAGATTCTAAGCAAGATGAAAAGGTTCGAGATAATGACAAGATCTTCAGGTCAGGAAAAGTAAAAATAGAAGAGAGTTACAAATGAGAAAATCTGACAGAAATCAATATGAAAACAAACCAGCTTAAAATAAAATAATAAAATAAAATAAATAAAATAAAATAAAAAGCTGCGTCTGTACAGCGGAATGGCAAACTCCCACCCCCAAATCAGCCCCGCTGCAATTAGGTAGCTCTGATGTTGGTAATAAAACCTAACTCCCTCAGGCAGGGGCTTGCAGGGAGCTATGGAAATGAACCTGAAGAGTCGCCCTGACCGCATTTCACAGCCCTGCTCCAGGTCACCCTCTCGGCCCCTTTCCTTCACTCTCCAGGTCCCAGCTGCGGCTCTTTCACCGGGCACGCCTCCCTTGCCCACGGCCTCGGGGTCCCGGGCGCCCGGATCGCGCCGGACCTGAGCCGCTGACCTTGCGCGGCGCGCC